GCCAACACTGCTTGTAATAAAGCGTACCGCGTACTTAATATATAATCTCGCTATATTATTTTGCAGATGTTGAAATGAATTGGTGGGTTATAAGTTGTTGGTTGAAGTCGGCACTTAAACTAGCAATCTTATTTTTCTAATTCATACCCAGTGACTACTGAATTATAAATATTTTTAATTAATTTTTATTTCAATGTGAATTGTTCTTTAAGAGGTAATAAAGTGTTATGGTCCAATTGTTAACACTGTTCTTACTAATGTACAATGTTTAAACAGCGAGTGGGTACCCGCTTTCTACGGTAATCGGACGCATGGCGCATACAAATAATGCTATTAACGAAACCGCCTTAATACAACGTGTTGGGTGTTTACGTATGTAACGATTGTCTCACACACTCACTCCGCTGGCTCTGCGACCCAAAAAGTGTCTTGCCATCCGAAATGAGAATCTTCCAGCCCTCTGTCTCCTGTGCCGCCTCCCGCGGCTTTCAGCTTCAGCAGATCCTCCAGTCTGTCGATACGGCTATACCTAGGCCGACCTACTGGTTTCCGACCACGATTGTCTAGTCCAGATTATTTAAAAGAAGATTATGTAGGTTTTTCATATAATAATAGATGATTATCCATATAAATGGAAGATTCTAAATAATAATTGTAGCATGGTGACACAATGGTTCTATTTTTAACCTTTTCACTTATCTATCTTACATATATATTTGTATGTTAAAATGACATTTATACGAGATATTGAATATAACATAGGAATGCTGAACATGCCCATACATGATGCTTCGGATTGCTCTTATGAAAATTTGCATGGCAACGTTGCGTCCCGCGAAATTTATTGTACCGTTGTTTGACACCAGTTTTTTTTAAATATTGCATGGTATGTAGGCCACTTATTGCCTTCGATAATGAGGTTTTTTAACTGCGATGTCGATTTTTTGTGTAAGTTCATATTCTGTAACTTAAAATATTTATAAATACGTCATGATTTATTAGCAATAAACGATCTTATAGGTTACAATTAGAGTTCGCATTGTATCTTTTATTTACATAATTTTATATATGTAATAACTAGCTACCCGACAAACGTTTGTTTTGCCATGTATATTATTTCTAGCAAACATTTTTTTGTTCAATAAAACAATAATAATAATAGGGGTTGATTGTAGAGCGGTGAAAATGAGTATGTATTTTTGTATCATAAAAAAATAAAAGCAAAAAATATTCTAATAATTTTTTTTTTGGGTGGAAACCCCTTATCGCTTAGGGGTTTGAAAGATAGATAGTAGCCGATTCTCAGACTTACTGAATATGCATAAAAAATTTCATTAGAATCGGTCGAGCCGTTTCGAGTAAGGAACGAACATTGTGACATGAGAATTTTATCTATACAGATAATAAATATACTTATACATAACATCCTAAGATTTTCAATGTTTTGTAACAAATGATATTGAAAACTTTAATATCGAATTAAATAATAGGTAAACAGATGATTTTTTAGCCTTTCAATAGGAACAAATGTGGCTCTAGGCTGTTATAAAATACTTAAACGAACTCCCTATTGATTTTGACAGAGGTGATATCACCGCATGACTTATATCAACTCTGTTTTGGAATGCTAATATTTTAGACATTATATCGTTAAGTTGTCGTTGCGCGAGGCGCGCGTGTCTCTGGTACAACGCCAACAAAAAATCTGTCTGGACTAGTGCTCTATGCATAGTCTTAATAAATTGTATTTTTTGATATATTCCTATGCAAAAAGGCAAGTTTAGCTGTACGTTTTGACAGAAATACTCAAAAAGATTTATTTTTGTAGAAGTAAATCATATAAAATAATCATCTAGTTATGATAATAAATAATTGAAAATTATATTTAAACGACATTTCTAAAATGATTTTATGGATGTATTTGTTTCCTACCAATCAATGTAATGCTGATTGTTTGTTTGTTAGTTTTTTGTGTTTAAAGTATAAATCACATATATATACACAGCACATACAAGGATTAACAGTTGGCTTTAGTAGATCCGACAAAAAAATTATAATATGATGATGCTGTTTACATTTTTAACGATTTGAGTTAAATCTTTGTCCCTCATATTTAGAAAACCTGACAGTGGTTTATTCAGTATCTAACGCAAAGATGTGCCTAGAACTCTACAAAAAGCTACCCAAATTTATTACATGCGCACAATTAGTATACCAGAGTATTTTCTACTTCAAGTAGATGCGTGAACTTTTCGCCATTACGCACAAATTGGCCAAGTTACGTGCCGAGACTAATACGAAAATCGTTCAAGTGTTCGGTGGAAATTGAAATGCGTACAAAATGTACTAATAGTTACATTTTAATTGACAGTGAACATATATGTTTTGAAATCGTTAACACGTTTCTTTCATTTCAAGGCGTTAATAAAATACTAAGTCATAATTTGATCGTATTTTATTTGTCACGGCGACGTTGATAACATACTGGAAATTCTTTAGTTCTGTCGTGGAGTAATTTATCACTGATGACTGTTAAAATAATATAGCACTACGAAAATAATCGTGACAATCGTTTGACAAGAATTTTGAATTATTAGCAAGTGTTCGTTTTATATGTATGTACTTAGGTTAAATTTAACCGATAGTTATTATATTTTTTCATCCTCAAGTTAGTTCTACCACACAGGGCATATAACTTAGTAACATATAAAATTGTTATCATACATTAATAAAGTAAAAATTACCTTCATTGTATTAAAAATCTTCAATTACTAAACCAATTACCTATAAACTTTCTAAACCAATAAGAGTTCATTTTAAAATAATTAAAATGAAAATAATGTACATGTAGTGTTTAATATAATATAATATAATATAATATAATATAATATAATATAATATAATATAATATAATATAATATAATATAATATAATATAATATAATATAATATAATATAATATAATATAATATAATATAATATAATATAATATAATATAATATAATATAATATAATATAATATAATATAATATAATATAATATAATATAATATAATATAATATAATATAATATAATATAATATAATATAATATAATATAATATAATATAATATAATATATGTATATATTAATTATATTATTCATTTTATTCATTATATATATATATATATATATATCACGCTATAACTATTGGAATGTGAAATTACATATTGTAGCTAAGTAATTTTAAAATGAACAGTTAAATATTATTCAGTGTTTCTGTTTCATAAATTATCATAAATATTATAACATTATAACGTTTTAACAACAACACATTATTATACTGTTTCCTGGATCTATAAGCGTCACAGCATATTCCTGATGTCAAAATATATGTATTTTCATCCACAAATTAATAGTTTTAATGCGCAAATCTTATATTATGTCGGGTTGTTGTGACGGAATGCTGATGAAACTCAATTATAAAAAAAATTGAATTCCAAAATAACTCAGCTCTTGACGGTCTCAGCTACGCTCACACAAATTTACTTTGACAAGATTGACAAGTGACGGCCACATTAAAACTAAAGGCTGCTTATTTTGGCTTCTATTTATTAGTTTCAATCAAGATGTTATTTATATTACATCAAATATCTTACTTGTTATTATAATAGCTATGATAATAAGTAATTGAAAATATTAATTTTTTTTTTTTTACTATAAAGAAAGAACATAAGAAGGTAAGAACATATATATAGGTTCTATAAAGTCAAAGTCAAAGTCAAATCGTTTATTTCAATTAGACCATCTAAAATGGCACTTTTGAACGTCAAAAAAAAAAAATATAAAGATGATTCTAGTTGCCCCTTCCAAAAGGTAGTTTCGTGTGGAGAAGAATGGGCAAGAAACTCCACACTTACTCTTTTAAAATAGGTTTACAATATTTTGTTACATTTGTTAAATAATTATATGTGAAGACAATGTACTCTTAGAATAAACTACTATACTAAAAAAGTTAGTATACATGTTCCTCACATATTTACAAATATCGAAACCTTAGAATATTAACATTAAAGAGTAATAAAAATATTTAAAAAACACAACAAAACAGTGTGTGAGATACAAAAAAAAAAAAAATTACATTTGTAGCATTATATAAATTAAAAAAAATAATAATATATAGGTTAAGAACATTGTAAATACTGTATTTGTGTAAATAAAAAGAAATACTTTATATTGAAAATTATATTTAAAGGTCATTTCTAACATTTTATGTATGTATTTGTTTCGTAGAAAGCAATGTATCACCGATCGTTTGTTTGTTTGTGTTTAAAGTATAAAAAAATCACACTGGCTTAAGTAGCTTCGACTTATAAAAAATTTAAGTCTCAGAAGTTGAAACTTTAATTCACATAAAATATTCAGAAACATAATTTTTAATTTCTCAAATATCCATTCTTTTATTTATTACCTTTTTAATCTCATAACACCGCTTAAGACAATATTGTTAAACTATTTGATGTTTCGACACTTTAAACGAATCTAGTATAACTCAATAAACTCTTTCCACACTGTTTCATCTACGCAACTATGAATGAAGTAGTAATTTGAACTTCAATGGACGCATCACTAGATTCATGAACCGTCCGATTTATAAGAATTTATTTTTAACTAGACGTATATGACCACGGCTACAAATAACGCGCACGATACCAGAACCTATTCCCTGTGGAATAGGAGCTATTATAGTGACTAGGTGTAATGCGATAGCATTTTGTTTTCTCGCGTTTCCTGTTTACATAGGGTTTTCGTCTTTGTAATTGCGTGGTAAATAGGATCTGTGGTAAAGTGACTAAATTTGGGGGAGGTGTCAAATGTTGTGGATTTTATTGTGTGTTATTCTTACCATTCTTTATGTTATGGCTATACAATTTTCTGACTGTTAGTTGATGAGTTTGCATGTATGGATTATGCATGTATGTGATCCTAAGTAATAAAAGCACTTGTTGGTTGTTTGCAGGTGATGTTCGGCGGGACGGTTGGAGCGGTCTCGCCGACTGGTGAAGACCTGCTCACCGTCACCGTGGTGCGGGACGAGCATGGGTACGGCATGAAAGTTTCCGGTGAGTATTTTTATTGAATATTAGCTGTTGACATTGCTTTTAGAACGTGAAAAGTATAATATAATTCACAATATGTAACTCAAAAATAATGGAGCTCTTCAAAGGTGGTTGTAAAATATTTATAGATGTTTGTAGCTTCTACGTTGTATGAAGATTAAGAACTAAAATTTATCAAATATGCAGGTACAAAAATATTTGGTGCCCTGTTTTATGTATTGAGGGGGGATGTATGCTATACTAATATTTTGTTAATATTTGAGAAAGTATATATTTTTCTAAATTGAAATTTATGCATCGTCAAATGTTAATCGTACACGTTAGATTGATTAACTGTCCGTTAAGAATTAGGTCGACACGGTTAAAAAGGTCGCCAGTGGGTTTATTCTACAGATTTTCTATTGGGCTAACTAATTTAGATTTTCAATGAGGTTTTTTATTTTAAATGAATTTTCTAATCTACTTTATATTTTTTTAAATGTAATACGAGTATATATCTATAAACAAATGACACTGTTTGTAGCGTCAAATTCATGGGTAACATTTTTTTTACGGCCAAACGTAGGCTTTTTTTCTAATTGTATAGCAAGTAAAAAATAAACCTAGACAACACGTGGAACACTGTCATAATTTAGGTGAGGGACACTTAGAATTTACAAGTTTGAATAAATTATAAATATAAATAAATTAAAAAGTTTAATAAATATGGTGAGAGAACGGTGAATTATTTACTATCGTGGCTAATAAATGGACTACCCGGTCAGTTATTAGATACCTTAACTTTAGGCAATATAAAAAACATGTTAAGGGCTCCTGATAAGACTGCTATTGTTATATTAATACAAAGCACAGTAATTTTAAATAATAAAAATTAAAAAAATAAAAAAGTTAAAAATTTGTGACCAAGGTTGTTTTAATTGTATCGTTGCGTTACAGGTGACAATCCGGTGTACGTTCAATCAGTAAAGGAGCACGGTCCTGCGTGGCGGGCGGGGCTTCGGGCCGGCGATCGCATACTACGTGTGGACTGTGTGCCCGTTTTGCATCACACGCACCAGGAAGTCGTACACATGATAAAGGGTAATTGTTTATTATTTTAATCTTTGCTGATATAGCTATCCGGTCCTCTGAAATATACTAAAACGTTGCATTTTTCGTGGTCGTTTAACAAAGAATCCTCGGTTCAAAGCTTAATTATCATTGCTCATAGGCTATATGAGCCCAATCACAATTCTCTCTCATCAAATCCGATATATCTTTGAACCATGGTAGCTATAGTTGGATTTTGAATCTTACCCTCAGTCCACGTAACTGATATGTTTCTGTCTGTCTTTAAAATTATCGATTGTACTAGGGGCAAAAATTGATGATGAGTATGACGCTATTTTCTTTTCTTAAATGTTAATTTACGTTTTGGCGGAGTCATCTTTCAGGTATAAACACATTGTATCTTTTTTTTCTAAAGCTAAAATTTCTTTTTAAAACATGTTCCTGAACCCCTGAAATCGTGAACCGTGGCGACTACTGCCTTCATCTTTCAAATGTATGGCTCCTGAGATGTTCCTTTCACCCTTTTAATAGGTAAACATCACTAGGAGCCAGGGCAGATGAATATAAAGGATGTTCCGTCAATTTGAAGCCAGCTTCTTGAATGGTAGCCAAGCCATCGCATCACTGGACTTGTGCGTTATCTTGGATTAACAAAATAACTGCGAGCCATGTCGTACCTTGTTATTTCGTCACGCAACTCTGTTGTTTGTCCTGTATACCAAGTCCCCGTAATAGTGGCTCCACGATTAAGATATTCAATCATTACCAACCCTAGGCTGTCCCATAACAAACAGCCCATGATCTTATAGGCGGATGGGATTCCTAAATTTCTTCGGAGTTGAAGATGACGGTCTTTTCTAAGTCAGCTTTGTGTCATTTACAGTCTCGTTTGTTTCTGTGCGTCAAAAAGCATTATGGGCACCCAGAGCTCTGACACTTTTTTACACCGAAAGGATTGTGTATGGACACATTCTATAGAAATATTTATTTCTTCTGCTATGAAACAAACATTAACACGACGATCCGCCAAGACAATGTTTTCAACTTTTTAAATAATTTATTCAGTCCCTATCGTGCAGGGACGTCGTCCTTAATGGATGTTCTTTCTCCCTTGAACTCGGCACGCCAAGCCGCAACCATAAAATATGGTGGAGTATGAACCCCATGAACCCCTAATGTTGCTGTCAAGTCTTGATCTACCATCTTCATAGTAAAAAATCAGATATATTTTATTACAGCTCGAACTTAGATTTTATAAATTTTTAAGAGCACATTCAGGCACGGAACAAATTAATTCTATTTTAATAACGCAAAAGATAATTTTTTTTCTGATGCCTGGGCTATGCCTATCAGATTTTATTGATTTCTTTTCAAGGAGAATGTATAGCTTTGTTACTATTTAATGAACAACCCAAATATTTTATATATACGCAAGCCCTGCAGGTGTATGCTTAAGGTTGTTAATATTATTTATAAATACGTAAGATGGCCGGGTAAAAACCGTGCTGCCATCATTAAATGAATACAATCATGCCCACATACATACATTTTTCTTGCCGTAAATTAATTTTATTTACAATGATTACAGAAAACCCGACTATGGTGGTCTTAACAGTGCAGCAGAGTTCAAGACATAAAAGACCCATAACCGCGCCTGTGCCAGTCAATGTAAGTAAAAATGTTATATTAAAAATAATAAAATATATACAAAAGATATTTCAAAAGTTTCTTTAAGAGATTTTTGTTTAGCGGCGGATTTTATAATTACTATATCCTTATTCATTCAGAGCAGTGTTGGCCTAGTGGCTTCAGCGTGCGACTCTCATACCTGAGGTCGTAGGTTCGATCCCCGGCTGTGCACCAGTGGACTGTCTTTCTATGTGCGCATTTAACATTTGCTCGAACGGTGAAGGAAAACATAATGAGGAAACCGACATGTCTTAGACCCAAAAAGTCGACCACGTGTGTCAGGCACTGGAGGCTGATCACCTACTTGCCTAATAGATTTAAAAATGATCATGAAACAGATTCAGAAATCAGAGGCCAAGACCTAAAGAGGTTTTGCGCCACTGATTTATTTTATCCTTATTCATAAAAAATTCTCCATCAAATTCTATATTAATCGTGATTTAAAGAGACAAATCATTGCCTTAATTATAGATTGGTCCATCATTACCGTGTTTGTTACCATTTTCTTTAATATAAAAAACAAATGCATACTATTCATTCCATGTTTTATTTATTCCATTTTGTGTTTAATCTAGTCTTGCTATAAATGCATGAAATTACTGAGTATAAATTATTGCAACGCACTATGTATTTACTCAGGTGCCATCAACAAGGTCGCATGACATCAATATTCAATATAAATTTAAAGTTCATAGTTCCTAAAAAGCCTTGAGGTATTTGACAAATCTACTATAAATTGTGGTTCGACCTCACTCTTGCGTCATTATAATGACTCAACTTTGATGAACATCTAATATGTTAAAGTATTTATTGTAAAGAACCTGACTGTCGCGTCATCTGTTGGTCAATAAGAATGTCAGTTATTTTTAACATAACATTTTTCTCTTTTATTTGTTTTCTTACATATGTTATATCTGCCCCCAAAAAGTTTTAGCTTAAATGAATTTATTCCCAATATAAAAATCTATTATAGATTTTAATTTAATTCTTATTTGTGCGAGAGATTATTTGATTTATATTTTTCATTCATACACTCCATGTGTGTAAATTAAAAAAAAATACATCAAAACTGGTTCATTTTGTCCGGAAAAAATACTTGAAAAGTTTTATTCAGTATTTCTTTAAAAAATGGTTAACGTAATCATCCTAACAAACCAGGAATTAATTATAACAAGTCTATGTTTCAGCCGGAAAAGCAGCGGCAAATTGAGAAACAAAAGGCTGAAACGGTGCAGCTTATGTTAGAGAAGGAGCTTAAATATATAAGGGATTTAAGAAGTGAGTATTTTTTTAAAATTTCTAAATATAATATCGTGGAGATTCGTTAACATTATTCGTGTTTTAACTAGTCTGGTAACTCAACGAAACGTTTCTTCATGTTTCATTTATCTTATACTAGCTGACTTTTTGGAGGTGAGTTCACCGTATCGACGGGATGAACGTTAAATGTTTGACGGTTACGAAACCCATGAACATTTTGTATTGCATTTTTTTTAGTCATTTTCCAATAGTTATTCTGATGTTCGTAACAGACGAATACAATAAAACTATGAAATCGGTGTAAATAAGTGTTCGAACAAATCTGACTTTGTTTTATAATATAACGATTGGACATGGACAACGCACATAAATCATTTAATAACTAGATTATCTTCTCTAAGAGGTTCCCTTAGACACATAGTTCGAAGGTTTCCTCGTGAAGTTCGTCTTCATATTTATAATTCTTTGGCAAAATCACACCTTCTTTACCTTATTGAAATTTGGGGAGCCGCGACTAAAACTAACATTTCTCGCCTTCAAATTGCTCAAAATAAAGTAGTTAAATTGCTTTTTCATTACCCATACTTAACTTCTAGACAAAAATCTACAGTGAAACAAAACTCATGAATATAAAACAATTATTTCAATACAATACCAGCATATTAATCTACAAAATTCTAAATAACTATATACACACTAATATTACTTTCACTAAAATAAATCAAATTCAGAAGCGCAGTTCACGACGCCCACACAATCTTATTGTACCTAAGTTTAGAACCAATAACGGTAAAAAAACATTGAGCGTTGGGGGAGGGCTGCGGTATAATAGACTTCCACAAAATATAAAAAGTGCGGACAGCCTCGCAATATTTTAATTTAGACTAAAAGACCATCTCTTGAGTGATCCCAATTACCTGCGCAAATGAAAGTCCATCCAAGTTCTACTTCCCTAATTGATCCTTGAAGCTCTTCAATGACCCACGAAGTGATAAATTGTATCTTTAGTATATAAGTTCTCATGTAAGTGACTCTTGTCTGTTATGAGAATAAATGTCTTTAAACCTAAAGATTAAGCCCTCATAATCTTTGATTTATTACGACTATTGACTAAAGCAGTTTATCCTACACTAACCAATCATAAAGTTTTGCGAAACCAATATCAAAGGTACTATGATTGATGGTTACTAAAGACTTTTTGATTTTTTTGTTTCAGATGAGCTTCTAAAAGTACCTGACGTCCGCAAACAAGCAGAGTTAGAATCCGCAGAGCAACGATGCTTGCAATTACAGCACAAAATCGACAGCATTATGGCCGGACAGGTAGTGTCATCTCGCTCTTTTTATAATTGCATTAAATTGGAAAGAGATAGCTATAGAGCGCTATGTTGTTATTGTGATAGTCACGATTGTTAGGAGAAAGGTAGTTTAGACTGTTTAAGATTTTGGACGAAAATTAGGCGCTTTTTATTATACAATTAATAAACTAAACGGGTGTTGAAAAGCCAATTATTAATAATTATCATAGTCTAAACACCAGTTTCCTTCCAGAATTTTAGTATGTCAATGTACACATAGCAATATTTTATTTGCAGCTACGCATTTTCTCACTCAAAAACATACTAGATTTTGTTAAAGTTAACTTGTGGTAACATTGATAACACGGTTACGGGGTCAATAACCTCGCGTTTGTTTATATGTCTGATTCTGCGCATGTTTTACGCAATTTTTTTTTGTTGTTTTAAAAACTCCTTAAGAAGGGCAGTGTTGTACATATGATTGCTCCCCTACTTATATATAAAAAGGTGCGTATTAAATGACTTTGATTAAGGGAGCGTTCAAATATTACGTCACGCAATTTTTGGAGATTATTGATATATCCCCCCTCCCCCCGCCATGTAACGCGCCGTAACGTTTTTCTGTACCCAAGTATTGTAAAACGTTTCGTGATCACCTAGTGACTCTTTATACCTAAAAGTTACCATTATGTGGTGTAAAGTACTGGAAAGTCGAAAATAATATTAACAATAACGTGTAATTCAATCCCCGCCCCGCATGGTAGCGTTTTACAAAAGGACCCCCCCTCCGTAATACTTGAACGCTCTCTAAAATCCCTGTTATGATCATAACTCTTATGATTAAGGTGACCCTTGGTGGACGTAATTTTATTAATCGTAATTATAGAAAAAGACATGTGAAACAAATGTATTTGATTACACTTTCATACTGACGCAGGCTAGATGCAGTTTTTTTTTTATTGCTACACTATAAGGTTTTGAAATTGTTACAAACGGCTCTGATAGGTTTAAAAAATCACTAATAATTTCAAAGCCAACGCACGCATCACAAAATAAACTAACTTTGTAGCCGGACGTGGTCGCACCGTCTACGCCGCGGCTCGCCCGTTCGAAAGACACGAACGACAAACCGACCCCGAATACCGGTTTTCTAAGCGGTTTACCGAGATCGCTCAGCAATCTAACCGGGCAGAGTCTCAGGAACCTAAGACAGGCGAGACAGAATAAGTTCCAGCAGGAGAACCAACCGCCCTTACATAGGCAGAACTCTGATGATGGCAAGAAGAGACACAATAATACAGTGCCAATGGTGCCTACCACTTGTCTGGATAGTTCGCCGCCTCCGTTACCACCGAGGTCGATAGAACGGCCGAAGAGGAATCCACTCACACCGCCTGTTACTACCGCAGCTGATGGTATGAAGCAAGGTATGCTTGGTTGAAGATATTACCTAATTTTGTATAATATGGTCCTTTTTTGGGTTATACTATGAAATTAAATTTTGATTCCAATCTATTTTGTTATTACTCTATGGGAAATGGTTTTGTTGCTATATGCGACTGGCAGCTGAAGTATAAATACTTGCGAAATTACTATTACAAATGTCTATCAACCAAGCATACCCTATTTCACCAGCGAACCCACTGGCCATGCCAAAGCCGGCCTATTACAAGTACAACCCGTCAGTCCTTCGTGAGGAGTTCCGGCGGTCTTCACATTCCCTGGACGGCGAGTTAGATGGACCACAGCCTAACTCCATCGCGCTACAGATGAGCTATCCCCTTGTGAATTTGCCGCCGCCACCGCTCTTGGTAAGTTTAGACGATTCTATGGACTAAAAAATACATACCTATATATTTTTGGAAAGGTATAATTTAAGAATTTTTTTTGCGGGTTTCAAATGATTGTGATAATTGGTTATTAATTTGTTATAAAAATGTTACATCTGATTTAGCGTATCAGGTTTTAAGGTATGTGTTAGAACTTTTTTAACTGTAGTGTTTTAGCATTAGGTACAATAGATACCTAGATAGATTTTAAAAAACTTCAAGAAATTCCTTTCAAACTTTGTTGATTCTTTAAAGGAATTTCGATGTATTATATTATATTTCATTCATCATATATATATTATTTTTCATTTCAGCTCTATCTGCTAAGCTTCTATAGTTTGTTTAGTGCTTTGTTTGGCTTTAGCTAACACCCTTTTTGATAGTTTAAATAATCCACCACAATTAGTAAATAACTATTATATATTAATCTGTCTTAATCTGTGTTCATCTTAGATGAAATTTCTTTATTTGTGTTATTATCTGTATGTTTATTTCAGAATGACAACCGAAACAGCGTACCAGTAATGCATGTAAGGAGTCAGTCTTCACCGGAACATCTAGACCACGAGTTACCTAGAAGTAAGTAATAACTGTCATAGCCGTATAATCTTCTAATATGTATATAAAATTCTCGTGTCACAATGTTCGTTCCCATACTCCTCCGAAACGGCTCGACCGATTCTTATGAAATTTTTAATGCATGTTCAGTAAGTCTGAGGATCGGCTACTATCTATATTTTAAACCCCCTAAGTGATAAAGGGTGTCCACTGTCCACCCAAATTTTTATTTTTATTTTTCGATTTTTTTTTTGTTTTTATTCTTTTATGATACATCATACAACAATACATACAACCCTCTACGATCAACGCCTATTTTTTATTATTGTACGTGCATGGTATAGGCACTTTAATTCTGGCGCAACGATTACGCTACAACACTTGGCCTTTCTCTTGGATTCCGATGTCTATATCCGTTTTTTGATATTTTTTTGTAATAAACAAGTAGGTTTATTAGTGGTTTATTTGTTGTAAGCTTTCTGTGCCTGACACACTCCGTCGTCTTTTCTAAGGCATTCCGGTGTCCTCACGATCTTTTCCTTCACCGGACGAGCAACTGTTAAATGCGCACATGAGAGCGCAAAGCGAAGGTCCACTGGTGCACAGCCGGGGTACGAACCTACGACCTCAAGGTGCGACCAGAGTCTCTCGCTCAAGATGCTAGGCCTACGCTCTGTGCCTAAATAAATAATAATGGACGATTTAAAGTTTACGAATAAGGTTAGTAATTTGAGTTTGATTGATTTTGCAGCGAGTGGTGCAGCTGAAAAAGAGGCGTGGTCACGTGGCACCCCGCCCCCCGGCACTCCTCCTCCGCCCTACCCGCATTCCACGCAGGTAATAAAATAATTATTTTTCATTCGTCAATCTTTTAAGGTTGTATAACTTTCATTAAACTGTGTTTATATAAAATTTATCTCTATGAATTTAATTTATGACTGACGAGTTTATTTATGAATAATAATAATATAAATATGAAATGTTATTCTAGAATCATGTTATTTTATGTGTAAATATTATTTTTTTTTAATACTTTCAGCCCTGTTCAGATCCACAAAGAGCTATAATATCAATGGAAGAAGACGACGTTCCGACATCTGTAAGTTTAATTTTTATAAATTTACAAAGAAAACTTAAACAAATCCATTAAGAATAATATTTAGTTTTAAAAACGAATTTTTTAATTAAGTCAAAAAGTTTGTTTTGAACAATTTTTTTTAATATCTTGTGCTTGTGTTTGTAATCATTCATGTGGATTTGAGAATGGTTTAGATTTACAATTAGTTACTTTTTTTGTATCAAGACAGGACAACGTCTGTTGGGTCTGCTTCTTTTGTATATGTCCTCAAAACTGGAACATCAAAAGATATTTTTCAAAGAAAGAAAAATATCTTACATAAATCTTTCAATATAAAGGCGATTTTTTACTTAATATAAAAATGTTAATGTTAAAATTAATATCAGTACTAGCAAAAACTAATTTTTACTATCAATTTCATCTTTGAAGAAAGATTTATCAGCAAACAATACATAGAACATTTTATTTAATGGTTATATTTACCATTTTTAATTCTAGGAGAATACGACGTACGCGGGATTATTTTCTAATTTGCGGACCGTACGAGATTCGAAAGCGAGAATGGCGGTACTTATCAATTGGCTGTTGGGCGAGAGACGGTAAGAAATGTTTTATTTATTTTAAACTTTAAACTATGTTTCCCGACACAAAATATTCTGTGCTAATATTTTAATTAAAACTTAAAGACAGAGTTAAAAACGGTAATACGAAGCCGTATAAACATAACAGACGCCGTAACGCTTACAAAATAGTTATAGTAGTAATGGGCCGTGTTTGTGATGAGTGATGGGTCAAAAAGACCCTTACTTTGAATGGCCCAGCAGGAAGAAAAAAGAAAGAACGCCCACCAGAAACCTGGGTGGATGAGAGACAAGTGGAACACAACAACAACAAACTCCCAACTCCAAAGGGAAATTAGAGAATTATCACTAAATAAATTCAAAGCCCTCGTTAAACGTAAATTAATCAATAAAGCTTTTTATAAATTTGACGAATACTTAAATGATCCTTGGAATCCTTGGGATTGATTTGCTTCAGTTCAAACAATTTGTACGACCCAAAGTTTAGCGATTAAAAAGAGTGGTGGAGAGTTTCTTGCCAGGTCTTCTTGCCCGTTCTACGCCCTTGACTTGCGAACTGGTAGTAAATGTAAATTTACAATTAATTTAACTTCTTTTTTGACGTTCCTAAGTGTACTTGTTTACCTATATGAATGAAGGTATTTTGAGTTTGAAGAATTTGGAGAAGGCTTTCACTTCATCGGAAGTCGTGTTTAAACATAACATGGACTTAATGTGATCCTGATTACAGGACAGGATATTTTTATTTTTATTTAATCTTTTGATACATAATTCAACGTCTGCTAGATCTTTAGTATTGTGTTATTACAGATGCCCATGCGCAAGTCTGGTGCTAGTTCTGACGGACGCGTATCGTGCGGCGGGAGGTGTACCGGCTGCTACTCTTCGCCGATGGGCATATGAAATACACTCGGTTTTCCTCATGCCTAATGCGGTAGGTTCTTATTTTAAATCAGATTCTTTACAATAACGAATCCCACTAAAGTGGTTTAAGCGTGCGGCTGTTAAGCGTGAGGTTGTGCATTCGAATCACGGCTATGCAAATATTTAGGATTTTTTTACCATATGCGCAATTAACACTGGATTCTACGGTGAAGGCAAGAATCCTGAGGAAACTGGCATGTTTTAAAACTTAAAATCTATATAGAAGACCTACTTAATGGCCTATAAAATTAAAATGATAAAAGATAAGGTCGAAATCTGTGGCCAAGGCCCAGTATTAGAAGCTCCAGTGGATTATTATTATTTTTAAGTACCAATAATTCCTTCGTCATGCCGCGGGTTATGCAAAACTCATTTCCCCTTAACTAAAAAAATATATATAAATGATAATAATTTAATTAGTAAGAAGTTAGGGGCAAAATTAACAAAATTCTGTTAAGGTGATATGTACCAAACTGATGCTGACTGCCATTTAAATTCTACTAAGCTTTAATAATTTTATTTTTTACACAGGTCTTACATCTCAATGGCGTAGATGAGAACATGGCTAATGAAATAGAACATGTATTAGTAAATGGTAAGTCTGTTTTAATTTTTTTATCTTTATATTAAAAAACGGTCTTTTATCTCTTCTATAAGTTATTGCTCTTTTTTCGTTTACAAATGTGTCTCCAAACAGCGCCGACTCACAGGGCAACAGCTTTCTGTGTATAAATACTTTATTCACAATAATAGCTTTTATTTGTTTGCTACCTTTATTCCGTCTACCTATATTTTGTATTGGTTTCTCATTTTGCGTACCAGTACCAGCCTTGCGATTCTTTAACTCACTTTTCGAACTCTCACAGCGGTTTTCGCAGCGGCGGTCGCGCTCAAATCAGTCGTGAAGCAGTCGTTGTATGATTTGGCATTCTGTTAAGGAGGGAGCTTGTAGTTTATTGTTTATCTGTAAGAGTTTACACTGTATATCTTTTTTTACGCAGAATTCGAGAAAGAGGAGATTCTCCGAAATGTCTTCCGTAAAGCGCGAAGACAAGCCAAGGACGAATTGTCGCGGCAGTTGAGCGAATTTCAACTGAAACGACAACTTGGACTTGCGACGCTCTACGGCCCAGATGATGACACTTTGCAGATGTGTGATGTGGATAAGACGCAGGTGAGTTTTCCCACAAATTTTTTAATAGGGCCCTTCAATAAAAGGGCGAACCCAATTCGTGAAAGGATGGCAAAGAATTGCGAGACTTCTAGTATTGTGTATCGGGCGCTGTATCATATAACGGCAGGTGGGCGTCCATTTAAAAATAAAATCGATTTCAAATAACTGTTATTATTACGTCACTACCTCAGTTATACGTGTCCAAAAATGGGTGCATACCTGTATCTCAAAATCTAAACCTTTTTTGATGAAACTTAATATTAATCAGCTCGTTATAACTAATAGTTTCCGAGAAATTTCTGGATTTATATATTTAAGGGTTTTAAGCACACGTGCTTAGGAGCCTAAATAAATCATCATACTTAAATATTATCCAATTCCAACAAGATCTAAAACATAGTGAATTTTTTTATTAATTGGGTAATAATCAATATAGGGCAAACATCTTAAAATTTTAATACTCTTTCTGTCGAACTGCATAGAGAAAGAATTGATACGTTACAGAATATTTACATAAGTTTTTTAGATCATCTTTTTTTAGTATGATTCGAAATTGAGTTTGCTAAATAAACAAATGAAATTGATATCCGTGTCTTAATTTAAAGTGAAAAGAATTTATTTAGATATTAAAACATTGTGTTTTTTATTGTTATCTAAATAAAATAAGCCAAAACATTTAGTCGTAGTAGATTTACAATATTCCGCATATTGCTATAAATTCAATATTTTTATCACATTCTGTTATATTAAATATACTTTGTCTCAGACATCAGATAAGACATTTATGTATCAAAAACACAAAGAATTTCAGATATATTACTCCCTATAAGAGATATATTTTTGAGAATATATTTGTACATTAGGTAAATGAATGTTTTTTTGTATAGGAGGTAGTGGTAGTAGAGCGTATAATGTGCAGTCGCCTCCGCGCCGTCTCGCAAGGTGGCGCCGCCGGCCCATGTGGGAATACGTCCACGGACGCGCACGCAACAGTGCTCGCTGCGTTGGTTGCCGCAGCGCTGTGTTTGCATTGCAGGTTAGTAGGAAAATTGGCTATTGATAATGTTGTGTCCTTGTACCATTAAAAATCATTTTTTAATTATAATTTACCAAATATTATATGTATCAATATTGTAAATATAATATAAGTATGTAATAAAATCTGGACAACATCTACATACATTTTTTTTAAATCTATTATATTAAAAGTATGTACTATTCGTTTTTAGATTTTATTTAGTTAAGGCACAGAAAATTTATTAACAATAAAGTAATGCTCTGCATGGAGATCATGAGGTTTACTCGCATTACTTTAGAATGAAAGAAACACTATTAACATCATTGGCTAGAGTTTAATAATTTGTTTTTAAATTATATGTTTGGTTTTGGTTTATTTTTTAGGTAGTAGAAAAAAAGTAAAATTACAAATTTGCTACTTTCTTTTACTTAGTTTTATATTGCTTATAGATCAGCTTATGAAAATATTACATTAAATGAGGGATCTGATAGTAATATATGTCGGAGCAATTATTTCTAAATGAACTTCAAAAGTAAATCAGTTCAAAATCGTTCATACAAGTAGTTTATTTCATTTGTCAATATTGATAGATCCAATCGATAATAATTTTATAGATTTTATTATTATTCAGACTAATTTATTATAAATAATAAATTAAACACGTAAAAAAACCTGTGGCGCCGTCGACTTTTTGGGTATGCAAGTTTCCTCACGATGTTTACATTCACCGTACGAATGTTAAAAGCGCATTTATGTAAAGTTCAATAGTGTACAGCCGGGGATCGAACGTACGACCTCAGGTATGAGAGTCGCATCTTGAAAACTAAGCTAACACTTTTCTGTTGATGTGAAATTTGTATATAGGTATCGTGTTGTAGGCTTTGTAGTCGATTATAAAATGGCGACAATTTTAAACGTTCTCAATTCAAATAATTTTACTGAAAAATTTCCACAACTAAGATAAATATTTCTGGAAGGTTAGTTTGTTGCTTATCATTAAAGTTGTGCATTAGGAAACTCGATTTTTTATTCAAAAAGTGACTCAAGCATTTTCTACTGTTAGAGATTTTTACTTTTATCTTTTAGCTTACTGCCTCACTTAATATTATTAAATATTAGTTAAAAAGAAAATTAGACCTATGAGTAGAGTCAAGTTAAACTTAAGTCAAATTTAGACTGTCTGACCTACATCAAATACCCAAACACCGCTACGACCAAAATACTATATCAATAATGTTAGTACCCAAAGGCGTGTTCTTATCGGAAGTTTACATTATGTTGATAAAATTTGCAATGACCTTTAAGCGTGTAGTCATACAGACGATAATCTATTTTTTTTAATAAATCTTAATTTTGACAAAGCTAATGATTGATTTAAACTAGTCGGCCGCGGCATGATTACGTCGAAAGACGTACTTTAATTTCGTAGCAACAGTGTACATAAATGTTTTAACACCGATATAAAACGAACGTATATACATCGTATAACGAGGAACAATAAATTAAAAAAAATCGTAATATTTTTCAAATTAAGTTCTGCGGGTAAGAACTTTATAATTTCGCAAAAAGCGGGTTGGTTCAAAATTTGCAGCATCAAACGTCAATTCCTAATTTAAATGTCACAGACTGTTCCTTCGATTAATTCATATTTACGAGGAAAATGTAATTTCGATTGTTTTCCTGTAAAATAACTCCGTGATTAATGACGCTTGATGTCTCATTAATTCGCCTTGTGTTTTCTCGTTATATAATTGTTCTTGTTTTAAAACGATTTGTGTTTTCTTGGTGTACAAATGTAATATTTGTCGAAAAGTGTAGTAAATATGGTCAACGTTGAGATAAGTGAAGTGAACGCGAGAGAAATTAGGAAGCGATGGTGGCAATCACCGAAAGCCAAAAAGATTAAGAAGAATAAGTAAGATGATGCCGTTCTATTAAATGTGTTGTCCTTATCTGTACTTCTTCTGTACCTATTTGGAAATTAAATAAATCTTTTTTGCTTTCATTTAATAAAAATGTTTATTAAAATTAATTTTTAGTTCTAGTATTTATGTGCGTATGAATTGGGTAATGCTAATGCCCTGTCGTTTCTAAAGTTTATCAATCACCGTGACCACGCACGCTGTAAAGCACGCGAAACGTCGGATAAATTTAAAATTATGTTAAATAGTTGTAAATTTATAATAATACATAACTTCAATCCGGTCAAAATAGTGTTTTATTAAGTTTATCAATACTATTTTTAACTACTAATACTTCGTAGTTCAAGTAAGAAATGTACTAATTAAATCATTCCGCTTTTTAAATTTAAATTAAATTGCAGACACTTGCAAATGTATGCCTGCATTGCTGGTTGCTAGTGACAACACAAGTTACATTTTGGACTATTTCCTGAGGTCTCTAAACCTGTACCTGTGTGTAATGTTGAACGCGTTCCTGAGTTCACTTGACACGCATTGAAAACTCTTATCGAAGACAAAACTGCGATGTTGAACTTAGCTCCTACTTCACATTTTGATGTGATAATAGATAATAATAATAAAAACTTTATTCATGGCAGAAATATGGTTGTGACAAAATTCATCTATCGCTAGCCCCCACACAGGGGCTGGGTTGTGGGTAAAAAGATTTCAATTATTCCGTGGTAAAAAGTTTTTTTTAGAAGCAAAAGTTTTAGTCGCTTAAGCATGTGTGCATGTATGAGTATGTGAATGGGTGTGTGCGTATATTACACTCTATATATGAGAGTGTGGTCTTACCTCAGACTCATGGCAAAATACGTAGTTGGTACCTTTACTAAATGTTTCGTAAATCGATGACGTCTTACAACACGGCGAAATAACTACTGTTGTATGTTTATTAGGCCGGCATCCGTAGCGGCTGCAGTGGGTGGGTCGCGTCCCTCCTTCCTACAACGAGACAAACTGTACAAGCAGCGACTAAAGCAGCTAGCGAAACAGCATCCACAGCCTGTGAGTATCGTAATTATATTATCTAAAGTTATATTAGATAATTTCTTTGTACATTTTTATTAGACAACAATTTTGTTTTTTTATGTTGATTTTTTGATTAGAAATATGATAGGGCGAAAATGTTGTATTCTTTTATTGTATAGAGGCTAATCATATATTATGAGCCTTTTAAAAAATCAAATAACAAATGATTCCCAGTTTTAAGTTTATAATACCCAATTGTACATATATTAGCGGGTATATACATCAACATATATATAGCGGGTATACAGATTGAATGGCTTTAGTCAGAATATAATTATCCAAGGTTTTTTTTAACTAATTGGCATTTCACGTCTTGAACGCTGTCAAATATGTCAAACTTCATACCGAAAAAATGGTTTGACAGCTCTAATACTATATTTAAGTTTGATGTTTAAGAATACGCACCTAAGAGTTTAATAAAATAGCTGTTTGTCAGTGACAATTATTTCAATTTTTATTTTCGTTTCTTTCAGTTCATAGTGCGAGGCCACCATTTGCAGTTGCGCGCTTTAACATCAGTTGCCCACTGCCATCACTGTGATATGACTATAGGCGGTCTGGCACCACAAGCTGTTGTATGCACAGGTTAGAATACAATTTCCATTCAGTTCAGTTTCCATTCAAATTTAATTCCGTTAACACGAAATACGTCAAAACGGTGATTCATAGGTTTTTTACAAATATCTAAATAAGATATTTATTTGGAAAGAATCTCTCGAATATCTATGGCCCAAGTCCTACTCGGAGAAATCCAGTAGGTACTCTAATTTTTCCAGAAGAAAAGATACATTAGAATTTTTTGAATTTACTATACAAGAAACATTTTGGGTCGCAGAGCCAGCGGACTCTGTGATAAATTTACTATACGAAAGTTGAGAATATATGAAATGAGATGGATGGTTACAACTTACAAAGAATGTATGTTAGTACTTTTGTTTTTATGATCGCCTACGTATCGTTTCTTCACATTTGCATATAATAGATTATTATTATTCTATTACCTTCTGTTCTCGAGGATTTTTAACTGTGCATAATTCGACAATGTCTAATTGTTGTAATAGAAACTATCTAAAACTTATATATTAACATTAATAAATAAATAAATAAAATTTATTTGCCATTAAAAACATATATATTACGCGTATAGGTTTGCAGCGGATAGTTAATATCGTATATGTTTAATAATTTCAAGACAACGAAGCCGTACCATAAATACACTATATTAGAAATGTTATATTAATATATATTTATCGTAATTTTGACAGACTGCAAACTCCGATTACACCGAGAATGCGTTCGTAAAGTGGAGGAGACATGTTGTCTCGATGGCGAACACCACAACAATCGGATATCACGATTTATGGAGAGAATACATCCCAACAATATGCCAAGTAAGATTAATATTTTTGTTCTCGCAGGGTTAGGTAATTGTATATTTATTGTTAACATATATATGGAATTTTAGAGTTTTACTTCACCGTACGATGATGGAAAACATCGTAAGGAATCCAACATGCCTTAGACACAAATAGCCGATGCAGTGTGTGAGTGTGTGTGTCAAATTAAATACCATGGATTGATAAAATTGGTAAAAAAAATATTAAAAAAAATCAATTTTTGGGAAAAACGAACAGAAATTTATACTAGAAATATGTTTAAATTATTGTATTTAATATAAATTTCGATATTGCTTATACTTAAGAATCTGAACTTGTAACTTAGCCTTTTTTTATAAAACCGGTGTTTTCATAACATTACAACCAAAAATTATCGATAAATTTTATAATAATGTTTTTTTTCAGGTCAAGACTCAAGCGATAGGAAATCTCGAAAATCTTCTGGAACGGCGAACTTTCTTAACAGTTAGTGCATTGTTTTTATACAGATTTTAAAATATCTTAGACTTATCTTCTATAGATTACCTTAAATTGTGGTTTTGTTTCACTTAAATTGTGACGCATGTAAACGCTTTAGACAAACTTTGCTATAAAAACTGAACCATTGGCCTAATTAAACGTGATCGAAGAACAAAAAATCCGTCTAAAAACGCCTATCACCTGGTGTATATGATAGAATAAATTCGTGCAGAATGTCTATGGAGGATCCCCATTGCAGGAGATTCCACATACATCACTTATGATTTGTAAAAACATATTCTAAGTGATGGACTTGTTTTTTTGTAGTGGAACGCAGTTTTCGGAAGATGGAAGATGAGCCAACCTGGGAACAGACCCTCACGCCTACTCACAATCAAGGTCAGTCTAGGTCATACATAATAACTATATTTTAAGCTTTTTATTTCAGCATTTAGTTTTAAGTACATACGTTTAGGGAAATACGATATTTTTTTAAATAAGTCATTGACTTCAATAGCTTTACCTTTCGTACCTTTGATTAAAAACCAGATTTTATATTTATAGACGCATTATTTTATACATAAAGTGTTATAAAGTTACCTATATAATATTTCTTTCTATGTTTATATATAAGGAATATTATGTTGCCTATAGCCAGGCATAAGAGTTGGCTAAGTGGCTTCAGCGTGCGACTCATACCTGAGGTAGTTGGTCCGATTTTCATTGATTTGCCGATTTTGAGGCTGTATCAATTGTCTTTCTGTCTATGTGCGCATATCACACTCGCTCGAAAATCGTATGGAGGAAAGTGGCATGTCCCAAATAAAAACATGTGTCAGATAGATGACTAATCACTTATCAATTTGTCCATGGGCGACGGTACCTATCACTTAACATCAGGTGAGCCTCCTATAAAAAACAAACTATGAAATAAAAATATGGTCACTGACGTATACGACAAAGTCAAGTTGACATTCCGATACATTATCAATTTACGTACGCCCTTCGTAATGTAAATATTAATGACATTGTTGGGAGACATCCAGTGTTGCTATATCCGCGCCGATCAGAATACCTTGACCTTTACGATATTTATTTTCGTTAGAATAATTGATGCGTTATTAATAGTGTTCGAAAATTTGGACAAATACAGCTAAATATGGTTTTGTCACACGAAAGTGATAACGACGTAATATTTTTATAAGGCTAAAAGTGTAAATAATTATTTGATAACTAAAGGTTTAAAGAGGCTGAAGCTTTTAAAGTCTCTATATCCAAAATACTATCGTAATTTCTACGAGTCGTATGTCCATTTGTTTTGTGAGATTCATTTGTTAATGTATTTATTTAGGAAACCTTACAGCTTACTAATATACAAAACAGTTGTTAAATTAAACGAAAATTAATAGGTTTACAGTACAAGCAGTAATATTACAGAGATAAGTGTAGGGCGTGTGTGTGACTAAAAAGTGTGTTTGGAGAACCAGGTATGTTTGAATAAACTTACATTAGCTTAAATCCGAAAACCAAAGTAAATGATCAACTATTGAAAGTGACTCGTAGTCGTTAGTCGGTATAAATAGAATTTTTAATTGTTCTTTGAGTGTTTCCCGCCGGTTGTTTCTATGCTCACTGGAATGTTTTTGTAGAAGTAAGGTATTTGCTGTTATCGGCTTTTGAATGATGAAAATGTATATGCATTTTCATTTTACTGGAAATGTTTACCATTTAATTAGTACATAAATAATATTGTTTAATATTATTGATTTGATATAACTTATATGATTAAATTATACAAAAAAAATAAGTTTTGCACCGGCACAATTTCTCTTTTTATGATATTTGTGCAATAGTATGCTTCACTATAAGACATACGACATATTTCATATTTTCCATAGCTTATTTTAATTTTTTTAGCACTAAAATAGATCACAACAAATAGTTTAAAGCAATTAAAGTAATATGTTTGGTGTCTTAGATACAATAATAAAAACATGTTCAACTCGAACTCGAACATCGAAAGTTGTAAGCTCGCGTAAGCTCCTGAAAGTTTCGGAAATTCAGACTGAAAGTAGTAGACGCGGGGTTCGCGCGCCGAGCGGTCGGCTGTGCTACGTGTCAATTTGTATTACGTTATTTGTGTAGGTTGAAGTTCTGTTCATCCAGTATTTGTATGATTTTTATTTGGAATTAACGGGCGTGTTCTGATTTTCAACTATTTTTTTATGCATATTCATGCATTATTTAAACTTGTTTTCATATATCGTGTCTTACTTTGTATTTTAATGCTTATCGCAATTAAGTGAATTTAAGTTAAATAATATTATTATATTTACTTGACCTTGAGATAAACATAACATTAAATCATATATGGAAATAGGAATCATAAATTATACTAAGCTACTACTACTACAGACAGGGAATCCCATTTACAGGACGTGTCTGGGATAGATTTCTTTACCGTCTTAAATACATATTTATATTTGAACAAAAGACCCGCCCAGGCTTCAGACGGACAACCGTAAGCCGTAAACCTTAAAAAATTATGCTCACAATTACAGAAAAAGAAAACTGGTTTGTAAAATTTTTCCAATTTTCTCTCCATGAAAACCTCAGAGATCAAGGAATAAATTAAAAAAAATATTTAACAACTGTTGTCCAGCCGACTGAGTTGTGAGCTTAGCAATATTTTGCGATTCATAAATATAGTTTAATAAATGAGTCTTAAATATAAGTCAGTTTATAAAATATCTTACTTAGGCTGAATATTACAATATTAGTCTAGTCTTCTCTGCTTTAGTATGAAAGACGTTGAGTTATTGGTAAATTGTGTTTAATAAGCGGCGTTTTATTCAAAACACGACTTCAATGTAATTGGGTGTAAATTGGCTTCCAGACTTTGTAGCTATTATAGAGTCTTACTGTTAATAAAGTAGAATATTTAAATGATGACAATATATTATGTGTTTGTATTCATTAAATTGAAATTATAAGTGATGATTTATTACGCCGTCTATTAAAGAAATAATTCGCATATATTTTATTTCCACAAATAAGGTATCGATTTTTAAAGAAAGAGTATACTTGAGCGATTCTTAAGGCAATTTCTGCCGCGCACCACCACTATGTGGAACCAGCTGTCCACTGAAGTATTTCCGAACTAATTCGACTTAGGGTCCTTCAGGAAAGAGCGTACCAATTCTTAAAAGGCTGGCAGCGCGTTTGCGAGCCTTCTGGCAGTGCAATTGTCCATGGGCGGCGGTATCACTTAACATCAGATGAGCCTCCTGCCCGTCTGCCTCCAGTAACCTAAAAAAAAAATACTCCTACATAAGCCGGCACCGCATCCACGAAACTGGGTGTCCATCGGCTGTGATGACTGGCCTTTTTGGGCGTCCCCTAGGCTTGTTTGCCCCCCTATCCAGAAGAAATCGAATGAAAAGAAATCGATTATAGCTAGAGAGCAATCGAATCCACTTAATTACGACAAAACTAACATATATAGTGCTCTACGAAACCCAAATTGAGGCTTCTCACTAAATATTTCCTATTGGAGTGTTTAGATGTCATTGGGTGAACTTATAAGTTAACATACCGTAGAGCAGAGAACAAATTACACTCGTTAAATATTATAATTAGCGTATTACTCACGTTTGTCTGTGACTACGTTCATTGACGTCCGGAAAGCGGTGTATCAGTATTTATAGGCGTCGCCGCGGGCCCACTACTCTATTCCAACGCTTTGTTTGGTTTTTCTTAGTATGATGCATATTGGTATCTACTAACAAGAAGTACAATAGAAAAGGTTAATGATCTTAATTGTAGTCTCACAGGGTCAAAATAATTCAGTCCTAGGAATTAAATATCTTTAAAAACCGACCTATAAGCCTATCCTACCTAGCTGTATAGCGATCTGTTCTTGTCACTATAACAAAATTTCTAATAATTTTTTGGTGTTTATGTTCGCCTATTATTACAATAAATCTTGTATTTTTTATGTACCAACGTATCAGTACCGAGCGTTGGCAAGTTTTTGTAAATACAAAATAATAAAATAGAAAGCCTATTATTATAAATCAGATCGTAACTGTCTGACATGTATAGGTATAGATTCTGGGCCTTTTTGTGCCTAACAAAACTTAAAAGTTTGGATATGAGACTATATGTTGTATATACAATGTTGTATATTGAAAACGCGATACAATATAAATGCACCCGGTTTAAGCAATCAGTGTTGCAGCTTTCCAATTGAGTGAAATAGTTCAATTATCTTTATAGTCTTACTATTGTTTGCGATGACACTCTGCACTATGCAACATAGCTATTTGTTTCATACGTAATGCTTTGCTTCGCTTAAAGTGACTTGTATAGATGACGACTTAAACAAAATATCCATTCTCAACGCTAAATGTATGTATATAATAATGTAGTATAAAAAAAGATAGTTATAATGTTAATCTTTAGTATTATTTTGACGCTACATTCATCGCCTTATTTTATTTTGCTTTCTTTCTATCAATTCTGTTTCAGGATTTATTACACTTTGCAAGCGCTTTGAGTGAACTTTTTGTTGACAAACAAACTCGTAAACTTAACGCGAAATTTTTGGTATGCGAAGCGAGCTTTCTATTACTTTAATTACTTTGGGTATGGGAGTGGCGACCCTTCTCAAGGGTACGGCGTATAGGGTATAACGCCAAGAAAACAGCGGCTTATATCCGATATAGCGATTTGTTTTTCCGTTTATGACGCTATGTATGTTCATCAATCAATTAATCGTTGATGGAAAAATGTTTAATTTTAACGAAATAATCTTATTAATGATGTTTTACTGCGTAACAGTTAATCTCCATAAAGAATCGTTAAAATATAGATTGCATGCAAAAATGTATTTGATACTAATGTAAATGTTATGTAAAAGTAATATTCTATGCCGTTTTCTACCAAAGTAAGCAAAAAATCACATACTTTGATCGTGTTTTTACTGGAGTTATTTGTTCTGTCTTGCGTCATCCAGTTCCTACTCTGTTTGATCGACTTTATACTCAAAACAAATGGATTTTATGTCCATCGGACGTTAACGATGACGTGGTGTGAAAAAATCTTAATCACTGTTTTACTATGTGTAATATTGTTTAAACAATGTTGAAATATTACTTTCTTGTTACTAAAGTGACGAGTTTCTAAATCAGCTTCAAGCAAAACCGACAACACGGGGTACTTTGCGAACTTGCTGAGTATATAGTATACTCATTGAATTTGGTTCTCAAAATAGATTAACGCCTAGTAACGATAAGCAAAATCCTAGTCATTGCTACGAGTCGTATATTTTTGCTACATTTTGTCAGCCTTTTGTATGCGGAAATTGTTGGTGAGATTTCTGAAACAATTGAATTCCTTTTTACTTGTACGCTCTGGTTATATAATTTAACCG